TACTTAATAATAGTTTTAAAAATAATTATGGCCATTAAAAATATTAATGAATACTTTTATGATTATTACTGAGCGAATAATATGACCTCGTGTATCTTCATTGTTATTTTATATCGGCTACTGATGCTGCTACAGTAAATATGGCGGCTTGTTAGCTGCTCACTTCCCACAGCAGTGCCTCCACTTCAGAACTACAGCACTGACGTTTTTCTTACACTTGTCATCCAGTGACAGTGTCCACCATCTATACATTTTTATTTGGCCATTCTTGACTCCTATTTCAAATTCTCTACTTAATTCCTGTGTGTGATTTCTATGTGTGCACTCAGCCCTGCAGTCTTAGGCCCTTCTGGCAGGGTGTTACCTATGCTAATTAGGAACAACTGACACATGCTATCAATTTATGAGGACAATGCAGTTCATCATTATAATGTATATTTGCAAACAATTTTGCAGTTTAAAAACATGTTGTGAATCCAATGTAGACTTTTTTTTAGGACCTTTCTCAGGAACAAATTTAAGAAAAAACGTATATTGGTAATTGAGGTCCATTGTGCATTTTGTGAATCGTTTTTCGTGACAGAAATCCACCAGTGGAACAGAAGCTTAACAACAACAGAATTTCAACACTAATTTGTTCAGCAGTTCATTTAGAATTCAATTTTAGTTTATTTGCATTTGTTTTAGCAAAATGTTATATAGATTTTGACAGCTGCCTCAAATGGGACAAATTCCAAGGTCTTTTTGGCTACAGGCCCAAATACAATCTTATTAAAATATAGCACATTAAATAGAAGGAAGCCATTTATAACCATTCTTAATTCAGAAACTGAGAAATTACCTTTGAAACTGCAGTAGGTTTTTTTTATCCGTTAGTCTGTCGGGTTTTTAAGTGGGTGGCAGCAATTTGATTCAGTTTAATGATCCAAAACCATCCAGTAATAGTGACTTTCACTGGAAAGGGGTTTTGGTTATGATAGCAGATGCCGATGTTTTTATTTCCCAAATGGCTTCATTGTGGGCCCTGTGCTTTGAAGTGCCAGCAGGAAAGTAAGGCTCTTGAGAGACTCTTTGAAAATGCAGTCCAGTAATTGGTGCAGAGAGAGAACCCTAGTGATCAAGCACCCCGGCAGTAACAAAGTAAGACGAGAGAGTCTTTGAAATTTCCTTTGTTCTTGAAAGTCAAACAAAGCCATCTAGCTGACAGTGAGCAATGTGGCATTGCACTACACAGCTCTTCACAGGCCGAGAGCTGCACAAGCAATTTGAAAATAAGTCAATCAACATGCAGTCAGGGAAAAGGCTTTTGGACAGCGCTTCTGTTGTTTATATGTTAGCTGTCCGCTGCAGAATGCTTGGCCGTTATTCCTGGGCAGTGTTTACCTTTGGTTTTAAATGCTTCTAACGATGTAGAAAATGAAACAGGCAGTTTTTCTGTTGTGTCATTCATTAATAATGATACTGTCAGGACACACGTCTGCCTCTCCAAGCAGTTAATTTCATGAGAGGACATAAAATTTTAGTTAACCACTAAAGTAAAAATGATGTTAATCTTTCAGAAGACATATGTGTAATAATGTAGCTGTAATAATGTGATGTGGTTTCCAAGTGTACTTTACACCAACAGATACTGTACTGAACATTTAATGTCGCAGTGTGTCTGTAGCACAATTTAAATTATACTGTTGTCACACACCATAAGATATGATACATAAAAAGTGGAATTAACAATGGCTTGTTCTCAATGCACTGTCGTACAGCTGAATATCATGTCCAGTGTGTTTAATGTGTAATCACATAATCCGGCTAAATCATGCACTGATGAGAAACCTTAGTACTGGCACTTTAATTCAGGTAAGTATCTTACTGCCAGGACCCAGTCTGTGCACTTTTACAGTTAGTGTAAAAGTGTTTATCACCATGACAATCCACACCAAGTACAGATACTGTTCTTGAAAATGACGGGAGCCAGAACCTAAATATTGGAGTGAATATTCAGTGCAACAGACACTATTTCAGGAACTTTAAAGAACAGCAAAATGTATGCATATCCACACCACTTTAACCTCTTTATATTAATCACTAAGTGTTTTCTGATTGTTTTTCACCTACAAAATACTCATATCGCCTGGTGTCCCACAATTTTGCTGTAATGCTTAATTTCTTTTTCTATAAGGAATCAAAAAGTAAACTAACTTAACTTGATATACAACACCAAAATACACATATCACATTAGAAACATCCAGTAGTTTTAAGTAAAATATTATATTCAAGTATTAATAAATTGAAGCCCAAATTATAGTTCTAAAAGAGCTGTTATGAGTTAAAAAGTTCATTGACAAGCAGTCTCACTGGATGCTTTTTAATTAGCAACAGCTTTGTAATAACATAAAACATCAGACATTTTTGTTTAGTATCCCTTTGGCAGCCAGTCACTAGAAATGTGTACAATATGTCCACTTAGGCTAAACATTGCTTGTCAAGGGACTTTTGATATTGAACTAATTTGCAACATTTTTTTCCAGAATTTAGCAAGCATCCCACAACTTTCTGTGAGCACTGTACATACATACATACGTATATATACATACATACATATACAGTACATACACACGCATGCATACATACATATGCACACATACACACACACACATACTATATGGACAAAAGTATTGGGACACACCTCTCAATCACTGAATTCAGGTGTTTCATTCAGACCCATTGCCAGAGGTGTATAAAATCAAGCAGCTAGCCATGCAGTCAGGTTTGCAAACATTTGTGAAGGAATAGATCGTTCTGAAAAGGTCAGTGAATTACAAAGGACGCCATCTTTGCAATGTCAGTTTTTGAAATTTCTTCCCTGCTAGAAATTACAGTCAATTGTAAGTGGAATTACTGCAAAATGGAAGAGTTTAGGAACAACAGAAAGTAACAGAGTGGGGTTGCAGAGTGTGTAAAAATCGGCAACGCTCTGTTGACTCAATAACTGCAGAGATCCAAACTTCATCTGGCACTATAAATGCACCCCGGGAGCTTCATGGAATGGGCTTCCATGGCCGAGCAGCTGCATGCAAGCCTCACATCACCAAGCGCAATGCCAAGCGTCGGATGGAGTGGTGTAAAGCAGAGGAAACATGTTCTGCGGAGTGACGAATCACACTTTACTGTCTGGCAGTCTGATGGATGAGTCTGGGTTTGGTGGATGCTAGGAGAATGTTACCTGCCTGACTGCAGTGTGCCAACTGTAAAGTTTGGTGGAGGAGGGATAATGGATTGGGGGTGTTTCTCAGGGCACCTTATTTCCAGTGAAGGGAATTGAATGCTTCAGCATATCAAGAGATTTTGGTTCCAACTTTGTGGGAAGAGTTTAGGGAAGGTCCTTTTCTGTTCCAGCATGACTGTGCCCCAGTGCACAATGCAAGGTCCATAAAGACATGGCTGGGTGAGTCTGATGTGAAAGAACTTGACTGGCCTGTACAGAGCCCTGACCTCAACCCCGTCAAACACCTTTGGGATGAGCTAGATAGATTAGACAGATGGATGGATGGATGGAGATAGATGACTTTAATAATCCCAGAGGGAAATTCTAATTTCCAGCAGCTCAATACCACAGTGTTACAGACATAAAAGGTTGAGAAACACACAACTGCATTGAGATAACTGACTCATAGGTTAAATAGGAAATAACTAAATTACTGCTTTTGCCTTTATGCATTTTTACTTCCGTCCCTCGCAGGGTGGAGTTGTACAGAGCAATAGCACGTGGGATGAAAGATTTTTTTTTTTATCTGTCTGTGCTGCATTTGGGGACAAGTAGCCTGCTGCTGAACCGGTTTTGCTGACGGTGGTGTGCAGGGGGGGGCTGACATCCTCCAAAAGGGCCAGACTGCGAGCCAGGCCTTCGCTCCAACATCAGTACCTGACCTTATGAATGCTCTTCTCGAAATGCACACTCCAAAATCTTGTGGAAAGCCTTCCCCAGAAGAGTGGCAGCTGTTATAGCTGCAATAGCTGTTATAGCTGTAAAGGGGGACCATCTCCATATCGATGCCTATGCATTTAGAATGAGATGTCACAGATGTTGCTGTAGGTGGACTGGCCAGGTGTCTCAATACTTTTGTCCATATGCACGCATCACAAACACTTTACAAAACAGGAAAAGCCTGGTTAGTTTTCCATGAGAGCTGTAGCCAACCTCAGGTGAAACTGAAGGGATAAATATCTCCAGGACGCCAGAGGAAATAGGACAGACCGTTTATCATCTATCACCTTCATTGTAGTTTTGGTTCTTGTCACTGGGCATGCATTAGGTACAAAGCTATGATGATACAGACCATATTATGTTGCTACTAGTTATTTTCTCTTGATTGCTGGAGACAACAGATTATAATCCATCCATCCATTATCTATACCGCTTTATCCATCTGGGTCGCGGGGCAGATTATAATCTTCCATTGAAAAGTGTGAAGAAATCCATGGAAAATGTTCTGTGGGGGGTTTATAGTGATCACTCTCATCTTACAGTACACTTGTCCTATCAATGCTGTGAAAATTAATAACCAATGATCAGCATAATTCTTCTCCTATTGGAAAGTCTTGTTTTTTTCACATTTCCTGGCGGCCAAGTGGCTGCAATTAAAGTCTAAACCTTCAATTGTTTCTGCCATTGACCCCAAATTGTGCTCAGAGCTGGACACATGAATTATTTGGCTATTTGTGCAGCTGGGAAATGAGTTTAATGAACCCTCCATAAGTATCCCTAAAAATACACAGGAATAGGTGATGTGTAACACCATAACCTGCGACATAAGCAGTGAGTGAGTCACTGCATTTTTCCTGTTGTATAAATAGCTTTATTCAGCCAATTTATTTGAATATATACAGTTTACCATAAACGTACGACTTGGGCAGAGAGCACAGAGTGAAAACTGCACTGCTGTGGGCGCAAATCAATGTCATCAGAATGTGCTTCAAGAAACAACAACCTTTTGTAAACCAATCACTTTTGACAGCTTTATTTCCATTGGTTCCTGTCTTAAATGAGCCCAAGACATCACAAACATAGCACAAGAGACACACCAGGTTTACAAGAAAGACAATGACTTCTACTTAAGGTCATCCATTCAGCCAGTCACTCTAGATTTTGGTGCTCTTACCTCTGGTCCCAGTAGGGCTGATTTTAAATATGATATGGTATTATAGTATGTTTCCAATTCGGTGTAATATCTTTGATATATTACAAACAGTTAAATACAGCTTTCTGTCGAGGGGCAGATGCTGCAAAGTCTCTGACGTGAGAAGAGGCAGCGGTCAGGAGAATGTCAGGAAGGCGAGATCACCCCCACTGTCATCCTCAGCACACCCATGTACCGACTGTAACCCCCCCCCCCCCCCCCAAAGGTTGGATGCAACTCATACGAATGTGAATAATTCCCCGCAACACAGAAGGTGTGGATCTCTCTGCCACCTCTTTGCCACCTTTCAGCCCTGACTCACTGCATTTTCTTTACCTCTTGGGACGTCAGGAAATCTGTGCAACATCTCAGCATTTTCACATTCCCAGCAACATCTCTAATGCCGACACATGCAATGCCCTATTTGAGTTGACTGTTGGGTGACTTGGAGATACTCTCAAAACTGCACTGCATCAAAACCTACTGCTGTCCAAAGCAATAAAACACTGGGACACTTCACTAGAAATGTAACATATTTTGTTACACAACACATATATATGATATGTAAACTGAATCAGCAATTATCAGGCTTTCATTAGGGGTGCAGTTTAATCTTGTACAGAACCATCCATCTATCTTCAAATCGCTTATCAAACACAGGGTTGCGGGAATATAGGACCAGCAGCCTACAAATGACCAACCTTGTGTTACATCTCCCCCTACTGTAATTGTTGACATATATCATTCGTTTTGTAATCTCAACACAATATATGAAAAGCAGTACCACGTCAACCACGTTAAATGTTTGAATGTATTAGAACGTTTGGCAATGACGAAGCTTTAAATGCATGTAACTTGTTAAATAAAAAACCCATATATATCCTTAGTGGACACTTTAGGCAAATCTGACACAGCCACACTTACATGAAACAATTAATTTAAATAAGAGGTTTGGAGACTCACTGTTATTAACAATATATACCATACAATTTCAACTTAAGGATAGATTTCCTCTACATAACATTTCTAGCCAATGAATGGACTAGATGATTCTTTTAAATATTTAAACTAACAGTAATGTGATTTAGATTTGTTTTTCCAATTCACGTTTTTTCAGGAAAGAATTAGTAACATAAATCCGAGGATGGCTGTAAATTTGGTCATAGTAGTATAATAATGCATGCTGCACTACAAATTATTAAAAATATAATTCTTGTGTGTCTGTTTAAAATTATTCAACCATGGTTTACCGTTTTTAATATTTTGTATTGTACTAACGTAATGTAACGTACTGCAACATCATCTTTTGTTGTACCTTTTCCTCCTTGGGATGGAGTGGTGACTCTGAGGCTAGAGCTCTATACCAGTGAGTGGAAGGTTGCTGGTTCAAATCCCGTGAATGTCCAGAGTAACTCTACTCCGTTGGACCCTTGAGTAAGGCCCTTATCCTGCAATTGCTTCATCCTGGGTCCTCTAACAGGGAATAACTTGGAGGTGGGTGGCATGACTGGCACTCCAGCCACTGGAGGAAAAAAAAACTCACACTGGTCCATTCAGACTAGTGTGGTGCTGAGGTATCACCCCCCACATGGCAATACTCAGGTTCTCAGCCCTGAGGCAATGGGTGCGGCAACGCACTGTAATCAGTGCATGCTCCTTACCGCTCTCTTCTTCCTGACGACACTGTTTGTAGGAGAGATTCAATATTAAAACACTTAAGGTAATTATGGGGGCAGTAATATTTTTTACCAGTAGGTGGCAGTACAATCTAACCACACTCATGCTAAACGGAAATACTCTTGCCCGCACTTGAAGCGATGACCAAGCAAAGATTTGAGCGTTGAGGTTGCAAAGCCTGTGCTATGAAAACAGTGGTGCAATTTGTCCCTGGACTAAGGGTCCGTTAAAACACCCAACAAGGGGCAACAAGAGAAATTCTTGACATGCTTAACAGAGGGATGTACAAGTGTAAGCACAACTAAGATGATGAGTTTTCTCCATCCATCTAACTTCCAACTTCTCATGCAGGATAGGGGGATCTGGTGCCCACGTGACATGGTGTAAACGCCACATGCCTGGCAAAAGCAAGGCCTTGAACCCTCTCTCCTGGAGGTGCGAGAATATTCCCATTGAGCCACCATGTCACTGCAAATTGTGGGAATACTACAGAGAAATTCTACCATTATGTCTGCAAATTTATTCCAAATGAAACTGAATTTTCTATTCATGTTAAGCACCTATTCAGATGGTACAACAGGGGGAACAACGCTGGGACCTGCAAGCTTTTGATCACAAGATAAGTTCCTAATGACAATCTTTTCTTGGCCCCGGGGCTTGACGCATGCCGGCTGACATGTGAGCTAATCCCAGGACAGGAGAAAACTCCTCCGCAAAAGGGTAGCTCTCCAAAAAGAAATATATTAAAAAAAACAATAAATCACACCTTTTTAAACAGACAGCTCCTATGTTTATTTTATAAAATACAACATTTGTCATACCCGCAACTCAATGGAATTAACAGAACGAAAAAAAAATGAAAAAAAAGAGCAGAGATGGAAATTGTTTTTGAAAGGAATATTTTGAAAACCTGGAAGCCATTTGCCAGGTCCAGGTATAAATTCTGTCACCTCATGGTGAAGCGCCCAGTCAGCCTGAGGCGTACAGATGGGATGTCACTCAGAACGGCGATCGCTCCCTGCCCCGTCAAGTTTGCGATGAGGTCCTGAGGGTCAGGAGAGCTTCTGGGAGACACAGCGGAAGCCCAGGTTGGAGGACGAGCTGTCAGGGGTGTTCTGGCTTCGGGCTGCGCACCTGTATCTGTAGCAGTAAGACTGTAGACAGAAAAGGACAAGAAGCTTTCCTGAAAAGGAGATGCTGTACAAAACTGAGCACTAAACATGGAAATGACTCTTCAACTCGCTCACAAGGCCATGTGCCACTTAACGCTAAACTGACCTTATAATACAAGCTAAAATGAATGGGCAACAAGTTTAGAGATAAAAGCTTTGTGCACTTAAAGCGCTTGTTTGAGAAAGTCATCTCATATTGCCATAGCAACCTAAGGTATAACACTGATTGGAGAGCAGTGGATCATAATCCCTCTGCTGGTGCTTTGTAGGTATAGCACAAATAACCTTGGACCCAGGCTTGTCTCCTAGCAACAATTTCAGCAGGATTTATTTTGTATCCCTGGATTTAAAAGGTGGCAAGTTATTAGTAAATCAGACATTAATTTAAGTAAAATTTTAAGAGTATAATAAGATAAAAAATATGATTCTACTGTTGGACTTAATATTTATGTCTTTGTCAAGGCAGCAGGCATTAAACCAATCTGATAGTAGGAAGTGAGGAAATAGATGGGGGGGGGGGGCTGGGGGACAGCAGACACAGAGTTGGAGTGAGAAATAGTGAGAGGACAGAGCACGGGCTCAGAAAGACTGAACATTCCCCATAGGGCCAAGGAGTCTCTACCGTTAAAGCATAGTTCGTCAGGGTTCCGAGTGTACCCTTACAACTTACACGTTCTATGCCTGAGAACCGACCGTATGCTTAAGAATGCCCCTGGAGAGCATGTTTCAGACCACATTCATAAGTTCTTAAAAATTGAACCACACTCCTATCAGTTATACTTTAAATGTTCGTACTTCTGCAAACAAAAGGTTTACCATGCAAAGATAATTTTTTTCTAAGCCTTGAGTAAACCCTGACGCTCCTTAATGATCCACTAGATTTATCCAGATGCAGCAGCTATTAAATATACATTGTCTTGAGTTAAAGTTAATACATAATAACCAAAGTCTAAGAAGTTACAGAATTAACAGATGTCTTAAAATTTCCACTGTGGGTGAGAAAGAAGGTTTAGACTATTTAGCTTTTGCATCTTGATAGCAAAAACACGCAGAACATGCAGTTACGTGAGATGGTTTATTCCCTGCAATGGACTGGCATCACTGCCCTGTATTCCCTACGATAGGCTCCAGGATTATTGTGACTCTGCACTCAATAAGCGAAAACGAATGGAAGTATCTTAAAAGGATGAAAAAGTCCCAGGATGATGAGATAGTCGTGTATAATAACAGAAACATGAAAATGAAAAGTTTGAATTGAATAAATCATAATTTCAAATGCAGTTACAAAGGTTAGGAGTTCATTTTCAGTACGAGTCGTCGTCGGCTTACGACCTATGTGGCTTACAACTGATCAACCTCACGACCGTTCCAAGACCGCAGATATGTGGCCTCGACTGCGCCGCCTCTGGCAGCGGAGTGTATGACAGTTTCTGCCTCAACTGCCGGCAGCATTGAACTAAGAAAATGGTGACAAAAAAGTTAAAAAGTACCAACCATTATGAGTTATAGATAATATAATATTATTATTATGCAGTATTGCACATACTATACTATACTCAGGGGTCCACTATATAGTATATGCATTCACCGTATGAAGCATAAAATGTGTGACGATTTCTTGTAGCAGCGCGTAAAGTGCAGTGTGTATTTTAAGTTTATTTTAATGTCCTTTTGTGCTGTTATGACAAGAAATCACTGTGCACTTTATGTGGCTAATTCGTACTTCTTTCGCGGTATAAAGGTTAAAATCGTAAGGCGACGATGACCTGTACTTTGATAGGTGTATCCAAGGTGACTGGAGTCTGCAAAAGGTTTCGAAGAGGATAAAAAGTGCTCAAATGCCAGGGGCATCGATCACTTAAAACTACAGAATTATTTAATGTGATAACGGGAACATTTTGAAAAACCATGGAGGAGGAACAGTGCTGAAAACTGTTAGAGGGGAACAGACAGATATTTTACAGGACAGTCACTAAATACCACAAATGGACGGCTTAAATAAGACGACAGAACTAAATCAGTAACGCTGTGATCCGTTTAACAAAAATTAATATTGAGAGCCTCACAATGCTGAAATTTATGGAAGGGTTGCTATTTATAAGCTCATGCACAGATGATGCATAGGCATCCAAGTCATTGGGTCGTTAGCTCTGATGCTTTCTGTGCATAGTTATACAATAATCAAAGAATATGAGGAATATTCCAGAATAGTAATGCCCCCATACACACTGCTAGATATATTTAAGTGTGGTTCCATCACCAGGATGAAATCAACCACCTTTTATAACCCCCACCCCCCATCACCAAATTTAAATATCACTTACTGTAAGTTTTATGGTTAAAATACCCACGGATGGTTAGGAGAACAGGGAATGACGATTTCTACCTTCCTCAAACAACTGGATAATTTTCTTCTTGAAAAATGGTTTAATATCTCACTAAGCACAGTTCAGGGCTTGTACAGCATTCCTGAAGCTGTTATGAAGGCAAAGGCTGGCCTTAATCCATATTAGGTCAATGCTATGAACTTCTTGTTAGGTGATTCTGTTATTTTGTCTATCCCCTGCAAAATGCTAGCGGCTGAAGCTAAATCAGAGCATATTCCACAAAGCATAATATTTTCATTAGCCAGATAACTTAAGGATTGTCCGATAGGAAGAGAGGCAAGTGACATTCCTATCGGACAGTTTTCACATTTGGCTTAAGTCATCCAGCTAACCTGCTTTGTGGAATACCCCCCCAAGCAGTGTCCATAAGAGAATACAGAAGGAAAATATATGTGATATTCAGTCTGGTGATTTTCCAGGACCAACAACATTGCTGACCACAGTAAAACTGCTTTAAAATCCACACCCCTTTTACAGAATATGTTTCTGGACTAAGCATCGCATATTTCACAGAGGAAAGGCAAAATCTCACGTACTGAACTATGAGAACCTCAAAAGCTGACAAGGAAAGAAGGTTTTTTTTTTTGTTTTTTTTTTTAAATGATGCTGATAATCATTAAAGGGCGAAAACTGACTGCCAGAATCAACAACTCCCAGCTACTGCATATAGTTTTGCGATCATTTGACTAGTACTTAAGTTTTACCTTATGGCACATATAGGATCCTCCCTTCTTCACTTTATCATTACCCATGGTTGGGCCAGTCTGGAAAAGAACAGATTATGAGCAATCATAGTTCTCTGGTCATACAGTTAAGCAGTTAGCACCTGCAATGCTGGAAGTTTCAGAAAAGGACGTCTCACAGTTTTTATATATATATTATATATATATCCATCTCACAATGGAGCAACATCAGATGTAAATGTCTGCCCACATTCATAATTTATGAACTGGCATGTCTTCAAACCTTAGCCATTCCTGTAAAATCATTTTAATAGACTACTTTTATGACAAAAGAATGTTTTGGGCCTGTTTGTAGGAAAATTCCATTATTAGCCAATGGATTTGGATAAATGAGAAACCCGCAGCCTTAACAAGACTGATGCAACTCATTTATAATCACAGTAATGATACAGAAGGGTGGAGAAAAAAATAAAAACCTTGGAAAGCTTTATCCAGTTCTGACAAACCCAATATCAGAGCCTGAGCTATCAAAAGTCCCGTAAGTCTGAGTCAGAGGAACAGCAGTGTCTGAAAGAATACTCTGCTTCCTTAAAAAGACAGTCCGTAAAGTGGAAAATTCACCACCACCTTAGCTGCCAGTGACAACAACCTTAACATCCAGTGATCCAGTGATCGTACACTAATATGGAAAGTAACGGAGGGCTGTAATTTTAGCACGTTTTTTTAAACCAACATTTCAGACTGTTAGTGAGGAAAACATAAGTGATCCAATATAAAGAAACAAAACAAATGTCATCTTGTTACATTCTTAGGTGTGGGCCACAAATACGGACAGAGAGCTCTAAAGGTCGGGCATGCAGCCACCATCATATAATGCAATTTACACGTCTCACAGTCCCCTGTGATGTCGTTATGATTTTAATGCCCACATAGCATTTCCCTGTGAGGTGTTAATGAAAGTTGCTGCTACATTAGCACTAAATATTCATTAGTTACATATATATACACTTCAGTTAGTTCCTTGTAACATAAATAGAAAGCAGAGTGTTTTCTTTCACTTTTAGCTTCATACGGGAACCACAAAATGCGAAAAGGCCACGTTACCATATTTTGTGCGACAAAGACAAATTTTTCTATGGTATTGTAGCAATTCAATGACTTCAGTAGGCGCTGTAGTATTAAAATGGATTATTTGCTGAGACCACCCCACGTGTAGCCATTCAGTGACTTTCACACTACTAACTTTTCTTGTCTATTCTTTTTTTGTCTTTTAAAAGTGAATTTAATGTCTTTTCTATAAACGCGCTCTTCTTTCTGCCTTTGTAAAGCACTTTGAATTGCCTTGTGTCTGAATTGTGCTATACAAATAAACTCGCCTCGCCTAACTCACTGTTAATCAGCATCTAATATTCTCTTCCGCGGCACCCCAGCACCTTCCCTACTCGAACGTTTTTACACGTCTCTTGTGACAAGTTCACTCCCTCCACAAACTTCCTTCTTCCCAACTTGGATGTTTCCTTTCAGCTCAGCTGGTTCCGCTGCTATCCTCATGAGTATCTGCTTGCTATCTCCTCTGCTCCAGCCTAGAGTATACATACCCGGAGTCAAAACAATCTAAACTGATGGTCTCCTCTATTGTTACTATATCTATATTCAGCAGTTAGTAACATTTCCAACCAAAGCACCTGTTCACTGCTGATATCAAGTCATTTCTTTTTCTGTTTTCAAACTTCTGTTTTCCAGTTCATCCCTAAACATTTCCCCCTGACTGACTGCATCTATCCCTTCGTATCCTGCACACAAACACCACAGCTCCTTGACAATACCCCTTTCAGCCCTCTTCAGTCCTAATAAATTGCGTTCCCATCTATTCCCTGCGTTTCTCTTCTGTTCAGCACCACTTATGTTTCCGATTCTCTTCAATCAACCATTATAGACAGGCATTGTCTATAATACAATACATCCCTGATTATAGACCGCTATGATATCCCAACAGGTACTTCCACTATGTTTGAGCAAACAACATGCAGATGGTTGTTTTGATGAAATACCAACTGGTTTTGCTGCAGGTCTGCACATTACAGTGGGACTAGCCTTATACAGAATATAGTAACTAATGATCCAAGGCCTTGGCCTATTTTGTCTAGACTGCTATAGCGCTGTGTTGGACAGCTTCCTGGTCTAAGCCAGCAGCTCCCAAAAACCCATCCAAAATTCCTCCATGCATCGTCAATCTCCCCAAATATGTCCACGTCTCTCCCCTCCCTGCTTTCCTTTATTAGCCTGGCCACCAATCACCAAATTCAAAATGCTCTGTGCTGGATAAACAGGACGGCCAGTTTTAATGTTTATATTCTTTCGAGCTTGAATTACCATGTACATAAAACATATAAATAATAAAGTTCAGATAACAAAATATCATGCTTTGAAGAAGCCGTATTTTCTGCAATAATTTAAGGTACAGATGGTGCTACTTTTGACAGCTGTGCTCTTTTAAATATATCAGATTAGTAGAAGGTGCAAGCTGTCCTTACAGGATTGTGTAGCTCATCTGTGGTGTGATGTATGTCCCACCAGTCTGCTGTCCATTCCCAAGCATTTCCCACCATATTATACAGCCCATAACCATTGACAGGAAATGATGTCACCTGTAAGTGAGAGAGACGCATTTCAATAGGTACAGATACACATTTGCATCAAACACTTGCTGATGTACTTTTTTTGTTGTTCCAATATGGAATGTAAGTTATTGGACCTCTGACACTGGGCATTGCATATTCAAGACTATAAAAGAATGTCTAAACATGGGTAGGAAATGTGTTGTGAAGGATATTAGTTACAAATGTTTCATTTAACAAATTACTGAAATTAATCAAACAATTACGGCAGCAAGTGCCAACTGATACCAACTTGAAACCCTTTCATTTTAAAACCGTATAAATGACACCAAAAGACTTCCTGCACAAATACCATGGGCCCTTTGCTGCTTGTTCCATAGCGTCACAGCAAATCCAAAAGCCGCTGAACTGCTGTAGTGTTATTGGCTAAATCTGTTCAGCAATGGTATGTGACCCTGGTGGCAAATTAAAAAAATAATAATTAAAATTTCTCTTACCGGAGCTGATTTTGTGTAGCCATCCTCTCCTGTGTTCTGGTTTGGAAACTCTCCTTGCCACAGGTTGGCATAATGCTGTCCTTTGGGATTTAATTTGTTACCCCAGGGAAAAATCCTACAAAAATAATTGGTTATGAGTAACCAAAAAGAAAAGACAACCCCTTTAATGACTAATTACAACACTACTTAAGCCACATGCTTCACCCACAATGGTACAGCATCTCCTGTAGCATGAATACTACCTTAAAACACTTTGCTACCTAAGACAGATGTTCCTGAACATTACACATCATATACACACACCACTCAGGTACAAATCTATACACTCGTATTTTGGAAAGGACTAGGGACCAAACAAATGCAAGAATGAATTAGCTTGGCATAACTCAGAAGTCCTAAGCTGAAGGTTAAGAGGGTTGCCTTTCCCCGACTTGAAATCGTAGAGGAAAACTTTGACCGTTGTTTGTGTGCATGAAGCAAACAGCAGTTCAGAGTACCCAGCCTTCTTAGAGAAGGTGGATGAAGTGCTTGAAAGGGTATGTTTATAGACTACTGAGAGGCTTCAATTCACACATGGGGAATGATAAAGGTACACAGAGAAGTTTGATCAGAATGAATGGCCTAAATCCAAGTACTGAACTGTCATTATGTGAGCTACGGACTGTCCATTATAAACGCCACGCTCGAACAGAAGGATATTCATGATACCAGAGCACCCCAAGCTAAAGGTCAATTATTCAGAGGTGGATCGTTCAGGTCTAGAAAGTACAAATACTGACCCAGGTTTTGTTTCAACCAAACGGAGTATAAAGAGTCACAGTCACAGAGGACTCAACTGGTTGGCAAAAGCAAAACCTTGGTCTGGGTTTGTACTTTCTGGACCTGAACTTTCCACATCTGCAATTATTCACTGTTTGGTTGTGTCAGGGACTCTCAACTGAGTGAAAAGAGGGGATCTCCTCTTGCTGAAGCTGTCTGGCTGAAGCTTTTATACATAAATGAAGCACACCACTGAAAATCCTTCTCCCATGTGTTAAGGGAGGCTGGTGACACTGAGTCTGAATAGACTATGGTCTAGGCCCCAGTCCTCCCAGTGGATACAAGGGGCTGCTGACAGAAGGAAGCTGGTGCCTGTTATGGTGTTAAGCCTACAACCTGCTGGTAGATAACAGATGACTGAAAGAAGTACTGAGGTGGAACAATGTGGATTCTGGCATTGTCATAGAAGAGTGAACCAACAGTGTGTAGGTTTGTTGGAATATGCAAACACAGTCTACATGTACTTTGTTGAGAAAGAATGATTATGTGATGCAGATGCTGGAATATAGGATACTGGGGTCACTGGTACGTGCTATTTGACCTCTGTATGAATGCAGCAGTAGATGTGCCCACATACATCAAAGGCAATATTTTTAGAAGAGCACATTTCAAATGTTTCACATGACATCAATCCCACACTGAAGAAACATTACCCAGGAAGCTATTGTTTACCAGCTGTCTCTCAGATCTCGAAGTGTTCCTACCCATCTTCTCTATGCTCACCCGGCCACCTCTCATTTCCAGAAAACAACACGACTTTATCAACCAGATAAAGCCAACCAGCATGCTTTATGTCACATATCAGTTTTCACAGAACTGGCAGCTAAGATGTGAATCCACAGAAAGGAAGCTGTCATAGGAGTCTCTGTGCCCATGCATGACCGGCCAAAAGAAAACCAGCACTCCTTTTCCCCTACCGCCCGAGTGGGTTCCTCCTCCATCCACCGATCTCGGCAAAGCTCTGCAGCTCCACCAATGAACGGATGATATACGGCCGGGGGGGGGGGCCGTGAAACAGTTGGCACCAGCAGTAAAACAACGCAGCTCACATCTGCCTCGCCTGACATGAAGCAGGTTGACTGAGGAAAGTGGCTTTTTGCAACTGCTCCATTCAAACATCATTTCAGGCTGCACAATCGAGAAGCTAGTTTGAATTATTCATCATATTAACAGCATGCTCTCATCTAGCCCCTGGCCTGTCCCACACACGCACGCAC